AGACTTTATTCTTTTATCATCCAGCTTACTGTGCGCAATGTTTCCTTTATCCCGCATTATTTACGCGATGGTATCCGACGAATTGATATTCGAGTAGATGTGTAAGATCATTTCGCGATTCCATACACCCCTGATAGGTACCTTTTCCGCAGGACTTCTCACAGGTTTTTATCTGCAGTTGAGGACAGAAGTATGTGGACACCCTTCAAAACAGAATAGCTTTTTTTTTAAATTAGATCAAACAGTTTGAGCTTTTTGAATACGTTAGGATTAGTTTATTACATGACGTTTAAAAAAACTGCAGAAGGTCGCTTTTTACAAATTTTTTATCTGAGCTCGTAATGAAAATTTAAAAAAATACCTTTTGTAGATCTATGTCAATTATACACATGCTGAAAATTTCGTCGAAATCGGTGGATGGAGAAACAAGCGACAGGCATCGAAAGATATAAGAATCTTCAGATTTATTACAGTTTTAGGCCGAAAGTCGTAAAATAGTGCGATTTTCACAATCTTCAACCGTTGGTAGCTCATAGCAACATTAACCGATTTCGATGAAATTTTCAGCATGTGTATAATTGACATATATCTACAAAACGTATGTTTTAAATTTTCATTACAAGCCCAGATAAAAAAGTTGTAAACAGTGACCTTTACAATTTTCTTCACGATTCCCACAAAAATTGCAATTTATCAAAATTTTTTGTACAAGTCATCTAGTAAACTAATCCTTCTAGCTTCTCAAAAAAACTCAAGTATTATGGCCCAATTTTTAAAAAATTACTCTATTTTGAAGGGTGTCAACATATTTCTGTCCTTGACTGTATATTGTCCTCCCTCACAAGATACTATTTAACTAATAATATGTATTTTTTGATAATTTTAGGAGTGCTAGCCGCGATATTTAAATTGAATCAACTCGTGAATATGATGAGTATCGGAACGTTACTCGCATATTCGATCGTCGCAATCTGTGTATTGGTACTTCGGTAAAAACTCGTCTCGTTCATTTCTGACACGATGATATACAGAGTAATCAATAATGTGATTGAAATTTGCTTTGATCCTTACAGATACGAAGAAAACGAGGTGTATGAACAAAAAGGAGACCGTGATCCAAGAACTTTCAAGTTCACTGTGAAACAGTTAATTAACGCTAACAAGTTGAATCATTCTACAAAATTAACATCCCAAATCGTTACGTGTCTTGTCGCATGTTACGATAAGATTTACCCCTTTTTCATTAAACTTTAATTTTCTATCATACTTCAATAACCTTACACGACTAATGTTTCCTTCACAGTTATTCTGTGTGTGCATCGGTATGATGGTCTCGATTTTTTCCGGTGAAATTACTTTTGCTATTCCATTAGCAATTCTAATACTAGTTTTAATCCTTACTCTTATATTTATTTACCTTCAACCTATTTCTGGAAAGAAGTTTCTATTTTCGGTACGTATTGTTTTCATTGTGTCAACCCTAACGTGAACCAGGATTTAATGATAGTTCTTACAGGATAAGAACGTATGCTGTTTCTTCTGGTTCCACTTGTACAGTTTTTCCCTGCACTCAGTATTATCAATATTTATCTCATGACGATGTTAGACAAAATGACGTGGCTGAGATTTTTAAAACGAATAGCAGTCGGTAAGTGGATGAAATATTTTAAAGGATGAATGGTTATTATGAGAGTAATAATATTTTTAGGTCGCTATTTGGAGTATTAAATGA